GAGGGAGGAGGGGTTTGTTTCTGGCGTTCTTGTAGTCTTCCCCTCCTCCCTCACAGCCACACATGAAACAAACAGTGCATAACATCTCAGATAGGATTCTCACCAAAGCCGAAACCAATGTCCTTTCCAAAGGATTCAACTTTGCAGTCGCTCCCAAACACATCCCCACTGAAACCATTATATGTGGAGTTGAAACCAGCCTGACCAAAATCAACCCCGATGACGCTAACAGAATCAGACTTGAAATCACCAACATCCTCTGCACCAGCAAGCCACCCAAAAGCAACTTACCCAAAGAGGAACAGACAGCACTACGTAACCTGAAAGAAAACACCAGCATAATAATCCTACCAGCAGACAAGGGCAACGCCATGGTGGTTATGAACACATCTGACTACCAAACCAAATTAACCAACCTACTCCAAGACTCCACATACAAACCCCTAAATACAGATCCCACCACCTACCTGGAAAAAACCACCAGATCCAAAATAAAAGCCTTCCCCATTAGCGAAGAGATCCAGCAAAGAATCATTCCCAGAGAGAAATCATCCAGATGCCCTAAGCTCTATGGTCTCCCCAAGATACACAAAGAAGGAACCCCACTTAGACCCATAGTCAGCTCCATAGGCTCACCTCTACAAAACCTATCCAAATTTCTCGCCAAACAACTACAGCCCTATGCAGAATCCATCACCTCACACGTAAAAAAATCATTCCATTTCTTAGTGATCATAAAGAAACAAAACTTACAGCCCAGTGACCTACTCGTGAGCTTTGATGTCATATCCCTGTTCACCCAAGTGCCAGTCAAAAAAGCCTTGACAGCTATCCAAAACAAATATAACCCCCCAAAACACATCCTAGATCTGACCAACCATTGCCTATCCAACACATACTTCATGTATAATGGACAAAAATACAAACAAATAGAAGGAGCACCCATGGGATCACCCCTCTCACCTGTCATTGCAAACCTCTACATGGAAAACTTTGAAACCCAAGCTCTAGAAAAATCTGAACACAAACCCAAACTCTGGCTCAGATACGTAGATGACACCTTCATAATCTGGCCACATGGGAAAGAAAAACTGGACAACTTCCTCATACACCTCAACAGCCTACACCCCAAAATACAGTTCACCATGGAAACAGAAGCTAATAACCAACTTCCCTTCCTGGATGTCTTAGTCTACAAGAAATCCAATGGCTTCCTAGGACACACCATCTACCAGAAGAAAACACACACAAACCGCTATCTGCATGCTCTCTCACACCACCACCCAGCACAGATCAACTCTGTAGCCAAGACACTCATCTCCAGAACAAAACGCTTAGCTGATGAACAACACCTAAAAACCGAACTACACACTCTCACTAATGTACTTACATCCAATGGATTCCAATGAAATAAGATTACCAAACTCATCCAAAAAGAAACCCCCACTAAAACTCAAGACAGAGAACAAGAAAATGGCACCACAGACAGAATCAGTAAGATCCTCCACAAACACAACATTAAGACAGCATTCTGCCCAAACAGAAAAATATCCACCATCCTAAGAAACCCCAAAGATAAAATTGAATTAGAAAATCAAGGAGTATATGAAATCCCATGCACCACTTGTCCCACCACATACATCAGACAAACCAACAGAAGAATAAGTGCACATATTGAAGAACATAAGAACTCAGTCAAAAAAGAGGAACCAACTTCTTCCCTGGTCCAACACCTTAAAATCACAGGACATGAAATTGACTTTAAAAAGATCAGAACTATTGCCAAAACTGAACATTTTAATAATCAGAGAAGCCATCGAGAAAGAAAAACGCCCACACAGCATGAACAAGCGAGATGATACCTCCTGCCTACCAGCCATTTGGAAACCCGCCCTTATTGACAAATGACTCCCTAACACAAAAAATGACACCAGACCCACACTCACAAAAACCACACAGGATGTCACCACCACACATCCAAGCAAAAAGCAAACCCAAAGCCACACCGATGATGAGGCACGACCACAAACCAGAAGCCAGACCACAGCTGCATCATTAGCCACTCTAAACCCCTCCAATCCATACATGAAGCAAACTGATGCCCACCATGAAGATGAGGCAAGACCACGAACGCGAAGCCAAAAAATAGCAATATAGCTCACCATTTTAAACCCCTCTGCAACTCAGACTAACCTGAGCACAACAAAGCCCCCACCCAAACAGAATACTCCCCCAGCCAATCAGAGCACAGCCAACCCCCTAGCCAATCAGAGCACAGCCAAGCTCCTAACCAATCAGAACACACCTACATCCAATCAGAACACAGCCAAGCTCTCATCCAATCAGTTCATACCCCCACTGGCAGTTAAAAGGAGGAAACAGCTACAATCACACATTGCTCCTAGAAGCACGAAGCCGAAAGCACCAGCCTGAAGATGACAAATGAGATTTCGTTGAAATGTCGCCAAGACACTTCCAATTTTACGTGGGAGAAAACCCGAATAACTAAAGACCTCAGAAAACACACACACACACACACACACACACACACACACACACACACACACACACACACATATATATATATATATATATATATATATATATATATATATATAAAGAATCAAACCAAAAATTGAAGAACGTCGTTTCCTGGGTGTATACATATTCAAAAGATAAAAGACGAGCACCAGGAGATAAAACAAATAAATGTTTAATAAATAGATAACCTAGCTTTCGATGGCTGTGTTGCTGCCATCATCGTCAGGGTGTTAAAAGCCAGAGGGTGGGGGAGCTTGCTTATAAGCACAAACGCGCCTGCACACGACTCATAGACCTCGTTATGGGGCCAGGTCGATTGATCCTCTCATCACTCATACCAGATGTATTTCTAAGTTCTAAGTTCCTGCGGCCGATTACTTCTCTGTTACACGCAGATCCTAGGCTAGGAGGAGAACATTCCATGTCACTTCACACCAGAATAACCTGTGTGACGCCAAATTGATCCTCCGATGAAATCCCGGATCCAACTAACTCCCTCCCCCGTGTCCGATGCGTCACTCTCCAGGGGCATGCTACCCCATCCGTACTCCCATCTTCCCCTATAGCCCCCAACCCACCGTGTTTCTGTACGTGGGGTGCACAGCAATTCTCCACGATCTTCGTTCCTGTCAGTTTAGCATCCGATCCAACTCTCTCCTCCAAGGAAACCCCAAGTGCGCCCTCACGCGTCCACCGTGCTACACGGGAACACATGACGGGACCCTCAATGGGGCGGTTATAGTCATCATCCATTCCAGGGGTTCCGATCTTCAAATGGGCATCTAGGCTAGGCACAATGGGCGAATCTTCCGGAGAGGTTGCCGTGAGGAGAGTTATCTTGCTTCACATCAAGAGTGGGGGGAGGAGCGCTCTACACCGTTCAGGAGGTCGGACGCAACGTTGAGAGGGGGGGAGAAGGGGAGGAATATTCGGAGCATCCAAGGCACCAGGGGGTGGATTGCTGTTACCAGCAAATTCTTCGTTCATCGACGGGTGCACGCAGGAATTGCTAATAATCGGGGGCACTCCAGATGATAAGATCGCTCTTATCTCGTTGTCTATCCCTTCATTGGGACAATCAAGGTTGTAAACACTAAGGTGCTTCTTCCGTCTAGAGCAAATATGTGCCTCCCATGCTTTCATGACCTGATCTGCAGGATGTAACTCTACACATCGATTAATAGACTTACAGTCCGAGAACCAAGCCTCCTTAAGAAGTCTGCCGCTCTTGGAGGCATCACTAGCAATAACTTGCACCCTATTAAAATCAAACTTGTGTCCAAGCTCTGCCATGTGAGTGAGGATCTGAGAGTAATGCTCCCCTCTTTTTATTGCCAGTTATGTTCCTGTATCCTCGTCCTTACTCTTTTAGAGGTTTCTCCCACGTAATTACTTGGGCAATCCTTACAATGAATTCTATAGATCACCCCAGATTTGTCAATGACAGGGAGTGGATCCTTCAACCTCATGATACAGGAATGCAACGTTCGATCCGGTCTATGTGCCACCCTTATTCCATAGGGTGACAATAGCCTAGCCGTGGCTTCCGAAACGTTGTTGACATAGGGGAGAGTAATACGCGTTGTCTGTGGAAGTGGCTCCCTACTAGATGGATTATAAGGAGACCTGGATAGAGCACTATGGTGCCTGATGAATTTATTGGGGTATCCATTACGTCTACAGGTGTGAAACAGATGCTGCCTTTCTTCAGCCTTAACCTGAATATATATATATAGTAAAGTTCTTAAAAAGAAAGGAGAGAGAAAACCTTTTCCTTCTTTTTTTCCTTTTTAGTGTCCAAATAAAAGTAAAATATAGTCTTTCAGTATTTGTAAAATGCCTTTCTTCCCAAAGAAAGCAGAAGATGCCTTTCCGAGCCAGGGAAATAATTTCAAAAGCTCTTACAGGTACCCAAACGAAAAAAGTCGGAAAAGAGAGAAAAATAAGAAAAAATTCTCACCCGGATTTACCACGGGGGCACTCAAAGCTTAGATGTTGTCTGACTTACGGTCTGAAGCGGCAGATCTTGTTCTCCGTCGGCGCTCGGAGATTCGTCCGGACAGCTGGAGGAGCCACCGCTCCTCCATAGCCACCGCTCCTCCATAGCCGGACAGCAGTCTCCTCGATGGAAGTCGCACCCTCCAGGACAACTTTGGACCTATATAAGTGTCCACTGACGGAGGGAAACCTAGCCGACGAAGAGAGAAGGCTCCCTGTGTGACTAGTAACGCCGCAAACCAGAACCGGAAGTCTGTGTTATTTTTTTTTTTTTTAATGTGCTTTTAGTTCCCCAGATTTGCATTCATGAGATGGGCAGGCATATTTATTTGAGTTAATAAAATGTGTAAATACATTTGTTTTACACTGTGGATTATTTAAAAACTATTTGAGTCAATTAAAATGAGTTCATGTTGTAATCACAATTATAATTAATGCTATTTCATTTTTTTTCCTCCTAGGGATCTTTCCAATAACAGAATTGGTTGTTTAACACCTGAAATATTTGTAGGTCTTAAAAACCTTCATAAATTGTAAGTATGGTACTTTAAAAAAATTATCACAGTAACTTTCACACGTTAAGTTAAAATAGCATAATGAAACACATGTAACAGGGCAAAATAGTTTGGTTGAATCTACACCTTGATTGGTAGTGTTCCAGTATTCAGTGAAACACACAGAGTCTCAGGTCCCTCTGTCCTACTCAAAATGTTCTCCTGTGCCCACTTCTTTGAACCAGGAGACTTAATGCAATGTTGAGTGTTATATTCCTCGAAAAATAATATTTTGGAGGTGAATGCTTCCACCAGAGGAAATTATTGCCTTCCCATCCACCATTCCCCATCTTATCTCTCTCCATTACTGAAAAAACATTTTTCTTTTTAGAGAATTAAACTCAGGCCAAAGGATGGAGGTTCTTCTTTTGAGGAAATAGCCAAATTGCAAAGAAGTGCCTCAATTTTTTCTGTTCATGGAAACCTCTGATGATAACAAGCATGTTCTGGGATTCTTTTCATGTACAGAAGGGGACTTCGGGATTCAGTTTTATGTTAGATGTCCATGGAGATTCTCAGTCATCCAGGTCATCATTGTCCCAAAGGTGCTTTGGGACAGTTTGATGTTAGGTGTACAAAAGAAAAAAAATAACTCTGATGCAAAATGAGTATTTTATATAAAATATATATTTTACTCTTGTTGCTGTGGTTTAATTTTTCTCTTCCCTTCTTGCTGGCTGCCTCTACTTGTTGCACTGAGCAAAATTGTTTTCATGTTTTCATTGTCATATTGTCTGTAGATTTCTTCTTATCTCTTTTGGTTTCTTCCCCCATCTGTTTTTAAACTGCTGCTACAGCAAAAATGTTCCTAATTTCATATGAGGTCAATCACCCCTAGAATGGCTCTTTTTTTTATAGGGAGCTGTTACAGGGCAGAATCTGCTTCAGTAAACTTTCTCAGTTCTGTTCTTTGAAGGAAGCTATATTTTGATCAGGGGTCTTCCCGTGGAGAATTTACATCTATCAGCTTTACTGATCCATTTTCATAATCGTACATTTTGGGATCAGTTGAATTATTTTCCTTCCAATGCAAATGCAGTTAGTTTAAATTACCAAGTTTCTGTTTTGTAACTTATAATGTTGCAGCATTGTCCTGCTTCTGTTGGTTCCAACTGGATTTTAGGGATACACATACACACTTTCCACTCATAAAATTCTTTGTGTGTCCTGTGCTAGGATTTGTCCATTAACTCAGCACCAAGAATACAGTATATCCCTAATCTCCCACATTTAGTAGGCTGATCTCTCTGTAAACTCCATCTTTCAGGTACATCTGTATTAAAATTGACACAAGGAAACCAGAGGATGTTTGTATAAAATTTTGTGCCCGATGAAACGCGAGCATTTCATCAGGCAGACTGATTCCCAAACCCCTGTACTTGTTTGGCTATCTCTGCTAAATTTATTTCTAGGATATTTGCAACAATATTCAGTTTAGCCCCAATATACCATGCATAGCTCATTCAATCAACCTTTCCATTCTTCTCACCATGACTGAGTCACAACATTCAAGCCACAGACCTCTTTAGTTTCTTGAGTAAGTTATAGCATGTTTGAGGATTAGACTAGATTTTAGGCCCCCTTTTTACTCAAAAGCTTCATAAAATTAATCATAAAATTGAGCATTTAAACTTTGGTAAATGATTGGAAGGCTCAGCATTCATCCTTATTTAAAGGAAAGGAGAAGAAAGAGGAGGGAGAGTAGGACGTGGGAAATACCTTTAAAATTGTTTCTAAGACAGAGTGTCTTCCTTTCTACATTTGGTCTTCTCATCATTCACTATACTTCATCATTTTTTTTCTGAAATAGGATAAGGCTCACAAAAACATACAGTAACCCAATTGAGCTCATTTATCGTTGAAGGTTGGCTGTCTTCTTCTGAATATGTTTCTCTTCAGACCTTTAAGACTGGACATCCTTCTTCTTATTTCAACCCATACTCCCATTGCTTTTTTTAAATTCACATATCTCAATTTACAGAAGTTCCATTATTCCTCTCTTGCCTACTTTTTCAACCATCTGCATGTGCACATGACAGTAGCTGGCTCTGTGGGTAGACATTTTGGTTCTCTTCTTGCCCCTCAAGACAGTCTATAGTCAACTGGCTTTACGTATTTTAACTTGTTGTTATATACCAAGTTCTCAGTTTTTGTTCTTCTTCTGACGACTCAACAACTATTTTCCTGTAAAATCTAAACTGGTCAGGGAGAGAGAAAAGCAATAAAATAGACTAAGAGGTTATATCCTTTTGCAGAACTATACCAAAACAATTCAAAAATCAGTATTTCTGACATGGTTTCATACACAGAACATATCCCTTGAGGGCAGATCATTTACTAATTTGCAGGAACTCTTGTCTACTCTGCCTCCCGCCATCAGACTTCAGTCTCTATGGTAGATTTCCCAGGCAATTTATGAAAGTGCCTGAAATTAATCTTCTAGTCAGTTGCTAATCAGGTTCACAATTCCTGTAAAAAGCACTTACCTTGATTTTCTTCACTTATATAAACAACATGCACTGAAACTTTGCCTCATTCCACCTATTGATTTCTGGACTCAAATATGCTATTATTTCCTCCTCTCCTCCTTCAGAAAAAGGCTCTACACTGTCAGGGAGAAGAGTAGTCAGGACACCAGTCAGCTGCAAAACTAAAATGTTATGTATAGCAATTTGCAATGAGAATTTCTGTAATAATGTCTTAATGGCCAAGAAGCTTTCCGCTTATACCAAGAGTATGGATGTTCATATTTTTTGTGTAAAAAGAATGACACAGATGCACCCAGAATTAATGAAAATATTGTGGATAGCAAGGAGGGCTACAATATATATTTGGGATGGGAGCAAGATTATTTTTATTACTTTTGGTCAGTGGGAGGCAGCATTGATTGCATTATTGTGTTGCCTGGCTCTTTTTAGTGTTATGAGGCTAACAGGAATGAAAATAATTTCATAGTCATCTTCAAAATTCTTCAGAAGAATCTGGGAGTGGAAACAGTTTGATCTAGGCTAGGATAACAGTGCCTAAGCTGCCTTTAGAGAGATACTTTATGGTATGGAAGTGACCTAATGAATATTTTTAATGCTTTTAATGCTTTGTAAAAAAAAGAAAAAATGGAAAGGAAGAAAGAAAAAATTAGAAAAGGAAAGGAAAAAGTGAAAAAGAAAGAAAAAGAAAGAAAAAGATGGGAAGATAAATAGAGGAAGCTACTTCAGACTCAGAAATGTTAAGAATTCTCCAATCCATTCAAAATGGGGGCATGCAAACCCTTCCCATTTGAATGTTTTAAAACACAACACTAAATTCATCAACTGTCATGATATCTCATGAAAGAGAAGGAGTGCTTTATTATTTATGATAGGCATGTAAAAAACCCACAATGAACTAGTATGACATACACATAATGTAGAAAATCTTGCAATTTCAGTCTGAAATGAAACTGCAACTTTTCTTACTAGGTATAATCTCAGAAAATTTACAAGAAACTTCATAATTTAGTGAGATGTAGATCTGTGAAAAAAGTTTTGCTCAACACTGGAAGAAAGACACAATTCTGACAGTATGTATTTGGGAACTTAACCATGGAGAATATGCAGAGTCTGTCTGTCTGTCTGTCTATCTCTCTTTCTCCCTCCCTCCCTCCTTACACACGTACACACAGAGACAGACAGCGTGTTGGTGGATGAATTTTCAATAGAGGTTTGAAAAAAACCTGTATTAAAAAAGACAGCAACGTCCAAGTACCACCAAAGGATCAGGCAGATCTTCAAGAGTCAGCTCAATGGGAAGAACAAGATCAATGCCATCAACATGTATATAGTGAACTGGCCAAAGAAGGATATAGAAGCTGTGAATATGAAGACTCCTTCCAATGTATGGAGGTTTCCACCCCAAGTCCAATAGTAAAAACACTAGTTGAAAAGAGTTGGCAGAAAAAAATGTTGCCAGGTCATGTTTGTTTCATGGAAACCTACTTTTAAATTTGTTTTGTAGTGCATATTTTCCACAAACTTATATTGCAAATATATTCCGGTTTATAGTCAGATATGTTATCTAAAATTCTTCGATTCTTTTTTTTAAAAAATGTATAAGTTTCAAAATAAACTTGTGTTCACATCAAATTAATTAATCAAACTTGGACATAAATTAATTGCCTAGAAAAAATCTTTTTAATTAAGTTGTTTCAGAGACGTATGTTTCTTTAACGTTACTATCTTCTACCACGGCAGCTTTCTGTCTTTATTTATGACCGGATTCCTAATATAATGTCCTAAGCTTGAAATGCTGTTGCTCTTATCCATATTTGGATATCCCACCCAAATCCTGCTTCCTGGCATGTCCATTTTCCCTTGCCTTTTCCACTACTACATTTAAAGAATTAACCAATAAACTCATGTTAATTATGACAATGACTACCTCCTCTCCATCTTTACCCATTTTTGTAATATAAATCTCTTGCATTACAGTGTTTGAATAGTCAAAATATTACAAAAAAACATAAGATATCTACATGTAAGCTGTGGCAGAAAGAATGAACACACTAATATAATCTTCTCCTTAGTTGACCTCTCAAAAGGAATTCTGTTTTTAAACCAGGCATACCTTCCACAGAGAGAAGTGGTTTTTTTCTTTAGTTAATGGCAGATTGGGCACTCATATTCATGTGTGGTAAAGCCTACTTGGGTTTGTTAACACCCTTAGTTGATTTATGTGGAATGTCTCTAAGGACTTGATATATGATTATTGACATTAATATATTGATAGACATTTTCTGAAATGATTCACATTATATGGCAGATATGGAGATAGTAGCAGATAACAAAAATATATCTGAATAATATACCAGTCTGACATTTCTTGATTAGCTTTTGACCATATTTATCTTTTATGAACTGCTCAGATTCTCTCTATGGCACATCTTAAGGCAGCATATTCTGTTTCATAAATACTTTTTAAGAGTTTGCGGCCATGTTGCCTGT